GGCCGGCAAGGGCATGCGCGGTGCTCCCGGGGGCGGGGCCGGCCATGCGCCTGGGGCTGGCACCTGCCAGCCCAGATTGCTCCGCGGGCGCATGTAAAGAGCCCGGCGGGCGCCATGGCGCCCGCGGGCACCGGGTTGGGGACCACGGGGCTAGAGGAACAGCTACCTTTATTTCTGAGGAACCACTTCTGCCCAGCAGCTCGTTGCATGGGGTCTCTGCTACACTTGTCCCACTGGTCTGTCTCTCTCGGGAGTTTCTGGTTAAACATGCAGAGAAAAAAGTAACAGGTCATCAGAGCTTTGCAGTTTTGCCAAATAGCCAACAGCTGTTTATCTCCTGAAGCCCACATGAGTGGGAGGTCAAGTTGGGAAGAGCACCAATACCACAGGGTTGCAGGGAAAGGCCCTCTGCCACAGCCAGCTCCTCTGGGCAGGCCCTGGCCCTCTCATGGAAACGTAGCAGACAGCTCACAGATGGACCGCTGTGGTGGAATGGGCCCCCTGTCAGAATCCGACTATACAAACCTCACTGCCATGTTGTTGCCAGTTTGTCTGGAGGCTGCCAGAGGCTCCTGCTGAGTTTCCTGCTCGTGTGCTGGTTTGGGTTCAATGAGGGATTTACGTCCTCCAGGGCTAAACCTGGAAAATAAAATTAGGCTTAAACATGAGCATGCTGTGAAAATGCCTGCACCAGGGGGAGGGGGATGTTGGTTTGAAATTCCCAGAGCTACCCCATCCATCCTCTCTGAGCAACCACTCCAGAACCAGGCAGGGCGAGGAGCTGGCAATCAGGGACAAGACTGCCGCATTACATAGGTGTATCACGACTAGCGCTGACTGAGCTGGCTAAAAGAGCAGTGTCACTGCAGCAGCACGGGCTGAGTACTCGAGTACAATCCCACCCAGGGTCCCGGTACGTATCCAGACAGCTAGCACATGGTACCATGGCTAAACTGCCATTTTTACTGAGCTGTTTTGATCAAGGCTTGCTCCAGCGTGCCCATGAATACTACCCTGACTACAGTGCAGACATACCCTATGCACGAAACTGCTCCCAGCTGCTATGGGAACTGGAGTATTTCAGGCTATAAAGAGTCATGCTGCACCTCACAGAGAGCCAACGCACACACAGTGTGGCTGACGTTAGCATCCTTGCATTACACCAGAGCTAGGAAATAAGGGGGAAGATACTGATGCATTGTGAGCCAGTGGCAATGTGTTGGGACAGAGAGGAGGAGGAGATGTCAAAGGGTTTTTCCTCTTTCCTCTATTCTGAAAAACAAGAGGCATTTTCTGCACTATGAGACTCTCCCTGTGAAGGAAAGAGGTGTGTGTGTGTCATAACAGAGGACTCGCCTTCCAGCTAGAATGATCATTATATCCCAATGACCCCTCCATCCAGATCCTTGAAGATAGTCACTCAAATTATGCCCCTGCCTGAAATGTGCTTCTGATGAATAGTTCTCATCAGACAGCTTCCCTCACACGAACTCTGAAGGCAGAAGAGCCAAAGAACGTGTGCAGTCCAGGGGTCCCAGAAGTGACTGTGAACCCTTTCCCTCTCCATATGCTCAGCTAGGGTCTCACGTCCTCTTGGCTCCACTGCTTTCATTCATTTCCACGAAAGTGAGGAACCAAAATGCCTCTGAGGATCTGGGCCCAGGACCCAACATCAGCAATGTAGGCCCGAACATTTTGGCCATCCCTTTTGGTCACACCACTGCTGCTAGTTCTACTGCCTTCTAACGAGAAGCAGTGCGTGAAAAACACTGCTGCTAAGAGTAACTCAGGAGGAAAGCAAAGCCCCCGAGATGGAAAATCTATCGGCACTTGTTAAATTACCCCTGGCTTTAGAGAACTGCTCAATGCAACTTCATTGAACCATAGACCCTAGACAATAATAATATCATCTTTCCTCTTAAAGGGGAAGTCCTCTGGGATGCCGTGCTGGAAGAGAATATAACTCGTAGCATCTGCTAAAGAAAAGCACAAAACCATTACGTGACTTCTACAAGAGGGAGAAAATTGAATAACAAAAACTGAAACATGTAAATATGGGAGTGAGCTCATCCTCGGGGCTCTGACAGGGGCCAGAGAAGCTGACAGATAAGACAAACTCTCGTAGGGCTGCAGTAAAAGGCAATTGCTATTTTCGAAAAGTAAAAGGGAGGGGAGAGGATACGAACGAGAGAGAATACTAGAATCACATTTCAGAACCCTCACTCAGCCCATAGGCAACTCTCTGAGTGAATCTAATGGGAGTTTTGCCTGAGTAGGAACGTCTGAAAATGGCCTCCGAAAGAGAGGAGGAAGTGGGGAGCAGACTTAGCAGTGGTTCATCTCCTCCAAACTCCACGAGAGATGCACAGGTTTCGGGGAGGCCTCCCCTATCTTCCTCATCTGTTCTTTCCCTTAGTGCCTCACACTGTCCATTGTTTAGCAGCACACGGATCCATCCTCCTTTTGGGGTAGGGTTGGAGAAGTGTGGAGGAGACAAAGGCTCACCCAGAGATGAATGGGATTCTGGATGCTCGGGTTCAAGCCCCTCCTCTTCCAGATACCTTGGGCACATGGATTATGGTACACTGCAGTCAAGCAGTGTGCGTGAAGCATGTGTAGATACATGACTTAGCTGGAGTGCCAATCGCAACGAAGTGATGGCAGCACACAAGTACGTATCCCTGCATCCCAGACACGTGTTTCTGTGGCTTCGCTGCTAGTGTTGTTCAAGCAAGCTCAAAGTTAGCTCAGGGAGGCCTGCAGTGTAACTGTGCCCTTACTCTCTCTCTGTGCCTCACGGGGGCATTGGGAGATACTGTGGTAACCATGGAGAGGCAGATTGCTAGAACTCCACCCTTGCGAACTAGTTTGTGTCGCTCCTGAAGAGGCTGGACAGGGGTGGCCCGTGCCTATAGGCAGACTAGGCAGCTGCCTAGGGCGCCAAGTTACATGGGGCACCAAATTCCAAACCCTGCCCCTTCCATTTCCCCTTCCCTTTCTGGTGCCTTACCTGGAGCACGGCTTCCCTGCGGCCAGGAGGGGGATAAGTCCTGGGAGAGGCAGCGCGTGGGGGGGTTTCCCCTGTGCTGCACG